TATATAGATTTCTATGTTGTAATAATGATTTTTATATAATTATTTATACAAGTAAACAACGTTGTGAAACTTTTTAATATCTGAAGATATACTTGATCGTATTTCGAAGATTCTCCTTACACTATTTTAGATATATTAGATTTTTAGAAAATACCTCTTTTTATACTTATTTTTCTGATAATATTTCGATTTAGTTATACACGAAGAGTACTGTCTTAATTACGAAGAATGTATATAGATGTCTATGATTATAATAATGATTTTTATATAGTTATTTATATAAGTGAACATCGTCGCGAAACTCAATAATATCTGGAGATATACGTGATCGTGTTTCGAAGAAACTATTTAGATTTTATTTGACGTATAAGATTAATAAATAATACCTCATTTTATACTTATATTTATGATATTTCGATTTAGTTATATGTGAAGACGATTGTCTTAATTGCGGAGAATGTAGATAGATTCCTGTGTTTATAATAATGATTTTTATATAATTATTTATACAAGTGAAGAACGTTGTGAAACTTTTTAATATCTGAAGATACACTTGATCGTATTTCGAAGATTCTCCTTACACTATTTTTGATATATTAGATTTTTAGAAAACACCTCATTTTATACTTATTTTTCTGATAATATTTCGATTTAGTTATACACGAAGAGTACTGTCTTAATTACGAAGAATGTATATAGATGTCTATGACTATAATAATGATTTTTATATAGTTATTTATATAAGTGAACATCGTCGCGAAACTCAATAATATCTGGAGATATACGTGATCGTGTTTCGAAGAAACTATTTAGATTTTATTTGACGTATAAGATTAATAAATAATACCTCATTTTATACTTATATTTATGATATTTCTATTTAGTTATACACGGAGAGTACTGTCTTAATTACGAATGTATATAGATTTCTGTGTTTATAATAACGATTTTTATATAATTATTTATATAAGTGAACATCGTCGCAAAACTTTATAGTATTCGAAGATGTGTTAGATAGTATTTCGATGAAGTTATTTAGACTGTATTTGACGTATAAGATTTATAAATAATACCTCATTTTATATTTATATTTGTGATATTTCGATTTAGTTATATGTGAAGACGATTGTCTTAATTGCGGAGAATGTATATAGTTTTCTATAATTATAATAAAAATTTTTCTATAATTATTTATACAAGTGAAGAACGTTGTGAAACTTTAAAATATCTGAAGATATACTTGATCGTATTTCGAAGAAACAGTTTAGATTATTATTAATATACTAGATTTTTAAAAAATTCCTTATTATATACTTATATTTTTGAAAATAGTTCGATTTAGTTATACATGAAAAGTATTGTCTTAATTACGAAGAGTGTATATAGATTTCTATATTTATAAAAATTTTTATAAAATTCTTTGTATAAGTGAACATCGTCGCGAAACTCAATAATATTTTTAGATATACGTGATTGTATTTCGAAGAAACTATTTTGATTTTATTTGACGTATAAGATTAATAAATAATACCTTATTTTATACTTATATTTATGATATTTCGATTTAGTTATACACGGAGAGTACTGTCTTAATTACGAAGAATGTATATAGATTTCTGTGTTTATAATAATGATTTTTATATAATTATTTATACAAGTGAAGAACGTTGTGAAACTTTTTAATATCTGAAGATATACTCGATCGTATTTCGAAGATTCTGTTTACACTATTTTTGATATATTAGATTTTTAGAAAATACCTCATTTTATACTTATTTTTCTGATAATATTTCGATTTAGTTATACACGAAGAGTACTGTCTTAATTACGAAGAATGTATACAGATGTCTATGATTATAATAATGATTTTTATATAGTTATTTATATAAGTGAACATCGTCGCGAATCTTAATAATATCTGGAGATATACGTGATCGTATTTCGAAGAAACTATTTATATTGTATTTGACGTATATGATTAATAAATAATACCTCATTTTATACTTATATTTGTGATATTTCGATTTAGTTATATGTGAAGACGATTGTCTTAATTGCGGAAAATGTATATAGATTTCTGTGTTTATAATAATGATTTTTCTATAATTATTTATACAAGTGAAGAACGTTGTGAAACTTTAAAATATCTGAAGATATACTTGATCGTATTTCGAAGAAACAGTTTATATTATTATTAATATACTAGATTTTTAAAAAATATCTCATTATATACTTATATTTTTGAAAATAGCTCGATTTAGTTATACATGAAAAGTATTGTCTTAATTACGAAGAGTGTATATAGATTTCTATATTTATAATAATGGCTTTTATAAAATTCTTTGTATAATATCTTTAGATATACGTGATTGTATTTCGAAGAAACTATTTAGATTTTATTTGACGTATAAGATTAATAAATAATACCTCATTTTATACTTATATTTATGATACTTCGATTTAGTTATACACGGAGAGTACTGTCTTAATTACGAAGAATGTATATAGATTTCTGTGTTTATAATAATGATTTTTATATAATTATTTATATAAGTGAACATCGTCGCGAAACTTTATAATATTCGAAGATGCATTTTATAGTATTTCGATGAAGTTATTTAGACTGTATTTGACGTATAAGATTAATAAATAATACCTCATTTTATACTTATATTTGTGATATTTCGATTTAGTTATATGTGAAGACGATTGTCTTAATTGCGGAGAATTTATATAGTTTTCTATGTTTATAATAATGAGTTTTATATAATTATTTATACAAGTAAACAACGTTGTGAAACTTTTTAATATCTGAAGATATACTTGATCGTATTTCGAAGATTCTCCTTACACTATTTTAGATATATTAGATTTTTAGAAAATACCTCATTTTATACTTATTTTTCTGATAATATTTCGATTTAGTTATACACGAAGAGTACTGTCTTAATTACGAAGAATGTATATAGATGTCTATGATTATAATAATGATTTTTATATAGTTATTTATATAAGTGAACATCGTCGCGAAACTCAATAATATCTGGAGATATACGTGATCGTGTTTCGAAGAAACTATTTAGATTTTATTTGACGTATAAGATTAATAAATAATAGCTCATTTTATACTTATATTTATGATATTTCTATTTAGTTATACACGGAGAGTACTGTCTTAATTACGAAGAATGTATATAGATTTCTGTGTTTATAATAATGATTTTTATATAATTATTTATATAAGTGAACATCGTCGCGAAACTTTATAATATTCGAAGATGCATTTTATAGTATTTCGATGAAGTTATTTAGACTGTATTTGACGTATAAGATTAATAAATAATACCTCATTTTATACTTATATTTGTGATATTTCGATTTAGGTATATGTGAAGACGATTGTCTTAATTGCGGAGAATGTATATAGTTTTCTATGTTTATAATAATGATTTTTATATAATTATTTATACAAGTAAACAACGTTGTGAAACTTTTTAATATCTGAAGATATACTTGATCGTATTTTGAAGATTCTGCTTACACTATTTTTGATTTATTAGATTTTTAGAAAATACCTCTTTTTATACTTATTTTTCTGATAATATTTCGATTTAGTTATACAGGAAGAGTACTGTCTTAATTACGAAGAATGTATATAGATGTCTATGATTATAATAATGATTTTTATATAGTTATTTATATAAGTGAATATCGTTGCGAAACTCAATAATATCTGGAGATATACGTGATCGTGTTTCGAAGAAACTATTTAGATTTTATTTGACGTATAAGATTAATAAATAATAGCTCATTTTATACTTATATTTATGATATTTCGATTTAGTTATACACGGAGAGTACTGTCTTAATTACGAAGAATGTATATAGATTTCTGTGTTTATAATAATGATTTTTATATAATTATTTATATAAGTGAACATCGTCGCGAAACTTTATAATATTCGAAGATGCATTTTATAGTATTTCGATGAAGTTATGTAGACTGCATTTGACGTATAAGATTAATAAATAATACCTCATTTTATATTTATATTTGTGATATTTCAATTTAGTTATATGTGAAGACGATTGTCTTAATTGCGGAGAATGTATATAGTTTTCTATGTTTATAATAATGATTTTTATATAATTATTTATACAAGTAAACAACATTGTGAAACTTTTTAATATCTGAAGATATACTT